GAAAGAGTTCACTGAAACCTTTGTTTTTCATTAAAAGGGACAAGAGCTCTACAACCTGTCCTCTAAGATCAGATTTCTAACACTAGGGAGCAAGTTGATATTGGCTTTATCATTGAGGAAAGCCAAAACTAAATTCACTGACTGACGAAAAAAAGATCAACAAAGATTATTCTTGTGTCATTAATGATGACAGTTATTTGTGTATGGAATATATTACAATTTTTTTTATTGCCAAGCAAAATTGTTAATGTTCACAGAGAACTGTCTGCAACATTGTTCTTTGTAAAGGGTTTACTGCCTTAAATGTTTGGTTGAATTCCCTTAGCATGGAATAGAATTTTCTTTGCAGGTCAACAAATGCTTGCATCACTTTTTTACAAAAACTTTAGGAGATGAAAAGGAATGCGTAAGAACTTAAAGCATCTTTCCAGCCACTGCTTTTTCCAGGTTACAACACTGACATAGTAAATCTTTAAAAAATCTAATTTTCTTGGGTTACTGTGTGGCAAATATTGTTAAATGAAAAGAAAATTTGATCAATTATAAGTTCTCTCCCCACTTGCTTGAGTAGCCCTAAGAGACTAATAAACTGTAAGCTTCAGCACTGAAAAAAATAAAACTAATCGATCTGTATGAGAGTATTTGTTTCAGGGCTTTCTTTCCCTCTTATGAATGGTGTTGTTTTTCCGTAGTCTGGTGGCATGTCATGAGGTATTCTCCTCAGCAGCGGCTTGGTGGAGATAGATTACCCTTCAGGTGCCTCAGAAAGAGTGATACCATTGCAAAGAGGTTACAGTTCCAGGAGAATAATGGTTTTTAATAAATGAAAATTGTGGAAATCAAGTATCTGTTGCTATTTTTGTCTCCTGCTTAAAAACAATCATGGTGATCTTGATCATCTTTTATGTCAGTCGTGGTTTACTCATTGTCAATCATTATCAGTTGTTGAAGCAGTAAGGAGGGGCATTATACTGGGCAATCACTGAGCTCACATTTACCCACTGTTGTGTGGGAAACTACTGCCTCTCCCAGTTTATGTATGCTTTCCTAGGATATCAAATACATAGTTATGGGAAGGCGAAGTTTCGCCTTACAGCTGCCAAAAATTACAATAAAGTTAATAAGGCCACCAGGAAGAGGGATGAGCGCTAGCTTCTCAGGCTTGCTATGAAAGGTCAGTCTGAGGATTTCAGAAAGAACAAAGGGAATACATTTTAATGGCACTATGCTAGTGAGTCTCCCAGATGCCTTTGAAAGGCCTAGCTAAAAGCTTACAGGGAGGATCTTTTTTAAAATAAAATAAAACGATTTTTCAAGCACTGATGAAAGTCTACTGAAAATGTGTGCACAATTTTCATATGTATTTAATGAGTACAGTTTCAGTTTAAGCTTCTGGGTGCAGAAGCTGTAAATCTTCATTGTATGTTTATCTTTTATTGAGGGACATATGAAATAGAAATATTATTTCTTAATTTTTTTAATATTACCATGAATAAATGCATATAGGCAACCTTTAGCTTCTGAAAGCACACATCTAAGTGAATCAAAACATCATATCTTTCAGTAACTGAAGATATTTTCCATCTTTCTTTGAAACTATTTAGCACTCAATTAAAACTGAGTTATATATCATATTTATCAGTGCAAATCATATACTGTTAAATGTTTTTCAGTCATTAGATTTCTAGTAGGCAGGTATAAGTCCCAAGGCTGCAGACTTTGCCTGTATGTCATCTACAGCTTGTGAATACTGCTCTCCAAGTAATTTTCAAAGAAAAAATTATGCTTCCAGCTAAATATGTGTTTTACAGAAAGTGCATACTTTAGACACAGGTTTTTTTTGGTGTTTTTTTTTTAACAGGGCAAACATGCAGAAATATTTTTGTTTTGAGAGTTTTATTTTCCAAAATATCATTAGCCCACATTAAGCTTGTTATCTAAAACGCATAGAGGACTAATGAGCACAAACTGCCTTTAGTAAAAGCTGGGAATTAGCAACAGTGACAAGCCATACTGTCCCAGACAAACAGTTTGCAAAAGAGATATGGACTCAGTTCTTAGATTTATGAATAAACATTATAGCAGGGCTTCATTTTTGTATGTACTGTGTATTTGCCACCCTTTTAGAGTCACAGGGAACACAATCCAATGATACTGCTCATGAGGTGAGAAAGCATAATTATATGTGAAATATTTGAATAGGGGGAAATTGATTATTAAAGTTTTCTTTTTCCATTCTGTTATTATTGAAAAGAAACATAATCTGAATGGGGGCCAAAATATATTGACCAAGCAAATAAAGGAAGGCTGAGCTTTCTTAAGGGCAGCAAGTAATACTTGTATTGCAGATACTTCTGCTATTCCTATAACAGGCCTGATACTGCACTACTGAGATCAAAGGATGTTTTTCATTTCACTTAATTGAAGAAAGTTTTGTGTGGAAAAACAGAGCTAGTTCTACAGTTCTGGTAGTTTTGTCCAAATCCCATAAACAAGTAATTGAATAAATGGATATATTTAAGTTTGACTGAATACGTTTTTTTTTTCCTTTTAAATAAGCTGTGTATGGTGATGAAGAACTGAAAAACAAGTTTAACCTTGAAAATGATAAAAACCTGTTCTTAGTGAAGCCCCCTGTTAGGAAAAGAAATTAATCTCTTCTTATGTAGTTTTCATTGATCTTATAGATTTTTTGCTGTCGTAAACTTCAAAATGTATTGACCACCTTGATTACTTTAATATACGATCTTCCTTAAAAACCAAAGCTGTAAATAATCATATCCATTAAAATCAGAATGAATTAGATGAATGAATAACAGCAATTCCTTATTTTTATGAGATACATCTAGCTACTTAATGTACAAAAAAATTACATCCAAACTGGGAAAGGAAAATTTGTTTGAACTCAACCACTGCATTAGTACAAAGTGTCTGATGAGGGGTTTTCTTCTCTTATCGACCCTGCTTGTGTTCAAAGATGCCTTTAATTAGAAAAAAATACAGTTGTGAAGCAAGAAATGCAACTGAACTGCTTTACTAACTTGTTGTCTTTACTGTTGCAGAGCTCCAAGAAACGAAGACCTCCGAATATCACAGAATATCCCACAGTCCCCTAGATTACAGGATATTATTCATGGATGAAGATCAGGATCGGATCTACGTGGGCAGCAAAGATCATATTCTGTCTTTGAATATTAATAATATAAGCCAGGACCCTCTCAGTGTAAGTTGAAGACGTATTTTGAGAATCCAAGGTTGTTTTAGTCTATGCCTTTCTTTTTCAGAGAAAAAATGTGTATTTCATTATTTTGCAGCTGGCAAAAGTCCAGGCCTGCACCTTACTGAACTGTTAGTCCTTGTTTTATGTCTAATGAAAAATGAACAAGCTATTAGCTTGACTGCTCCTGAAACACCATTTAAAAACTGACCTGTTTACTCATTTTGAAGCAACATTTAGTGTGACTTGGCCTCATAAAGAAAATTTGTATGGGTTGATGGTTTCCACTCCTCTCCAAGATTTAAGATAATTCAGACATACACTTTTAAAAGAAGGCTGCAAGGAAGAATAAGATACATGCAATAATTTTCAGACCATAAGGAAAAAGCAACAGGGACAGAGTTGCCTTTAACCTTTGGCTACATTTATTTTTGTTTTGCATTTTGAGGCCTAATCACCAAACTATTTTCCAGTCTTTGTTATGTCTGTGTCAGGTCTCGCCCTTCAGTTGGGTAGCTGGGACATGTCTCGTTTCAGGTTTTTTGGACACTGTGACCCTCTTCTCCCTCTTGATGCCAGCTCTTTTCTGGCTACTCTCACTTACCGATATGCCATTTTCTAATGACTCTCTGTGTCCTACCTCTCCAAACTGTAGTAGGCAACCTCTATAGGATGATAATTAAATTATCAAATGTTTAATCTATTTTCAAATTGATGTTTTGTTTCCAGAGCCAGTTTACATCCAGCTTCTTTGCTTTTAAAATAGGTGGCCTGCAGAAGTACTTGTGTGCCCAGAAGCCTGACTGTTGAGATATTATTTCTCTACAGACTTTGCCTTGCCTATCTGTAGACTATCACAGCTACAACACTACCTTGAAGTGTACCGTAAAGGCCTTGTTCTACCACGTTCATCTGATCCTTTAATCTATGGGCTTTATTACTGTACCTCAGGAGTATTGAAGGGTAGAGATATCCAGCTTACAGCAGCAAAGTTAAATGCCTTCCTTAAGAGGCAAGGCTTTTAATGTGTCAGGAGAGAGAGAGAGGCCCCACTGGAGGGTGATTAAGAGCAGTTAAATTAGGCTTTGCTCTGGATCACCCTCTGGACATGCCTGTCTGCCTGAATTGATTGTGCAGGGAGTCCAGGGAGGCTAACTCTAACTTACACATTTAAATTAAATGCCTCTTGTGTGACAGCGTGAACGTGCCTTTCCTCCTGCTAATGGTACAGAAATCTTCATCTGGAATGAGGTTGCCTTCTCTGATCTGAAACAGCTTGTGTGACTTTTTTCTAATTCCCGTCTCACCAGTGATCCGGCCACCCTTGTCTGGGAGCTGCTCTGCTCTCGCACAGCACCCTCCAGCCTTCCCTTAGCAGGTTGTTTTTTATTCTGTGCAGAGCTCGGTTAGGTAGGAACGCCTCTGTTGCATGAAATATATTCTGCAGTATAAAGCTGTGAGGCATTTCAACAGTGTATTTAGGCCTGGAAAAATAAGAATAAAAAAAAAATCAACAGAAAGAAAAAGCACCTGAAATTTTCTAGCAGCTAATGGGATTACCCAGTATTAGGCTCAGAATCAACCTCTGAGTTTTCACACATTCTTGTGTTTGTTTATTTACTTTTATAACAGGTTCACTTTGCTAATCTTATGCCTCCGTAGAAACTCTATGTACATATGCATATGTACCTACAAATCTCTGCATACATATGTGTGTATATATATATACACAGAGATCTTTTAATGCTATTATTTATGTTATCTTGAGGCTAAATGTTATCAGACTCTCTCACCTAATAAATTTCTAGAGATTCCTAATGGATGTGTTTTCTATTTCAAAATCAAAATAAATAATGGAAGAAGCTCAATAACTTTAGAGTTTGAATGTAGATCAGATAAATGTTCCAACATTGAGATGTTTGTTGGAAAACTGTAGTGCAAGATATCTTGGAAAGAAATCAAGAAATCAACATGAAATCTTAGGATTTTAAGCAGGTTTTATTGTAAGATATCCAAACCTTTACTGTTAAAAGTGAATTTTTTTTACAAGAACCCTTCTTTCAATAATTTAGTCTTCTTGTTCCTAGTGTGAACAATTTCTAGAAGTTTAATAACAGCAAAAAAGTAAAGATGAACAGTAATTTAGACAATGACGATGAAAATATCTCTTACATAGAATGGAGAAGTTTAAAAAAATTAATAAACTTCTCTTAAAAATATTTAATAAAATTAATTTGTATCAGTCAATGACCTGGGCCTTTATTTTGTTTACTGCATGCTAAGACAGAAAGTTGTTTCCATTTACCAATGAAAGTATTTTTTGCCTTATAATCAAGGTGTAAAAGATATCAAAATATTAACTTAGCAATCTAAGTTACGCAGTGAAATGCTTTTTGTTTTTCATTAAGAAACAAGTTATGTAATAAATACGTTAATTAAAAGACATTTCTTTCCTTACAGATTTTCTGGCCAGCGTCAGCAAACAAGGTTGAAGAGTGCAAAATGGCTGGCAAAGATCCTACAGTAAGTTATAATCCACACGCACATGCACACACATACACAAATTACATACTTGGCAGTAAAGTAAGAGCACCTTGAGTGCAGCCAAAATGAACGAAATGTTTGTTTTGCTTTTTAAATACTCTGCAGGCCAAATGATAAAGTGAAATTATGAAAAAACAGGCTATGTAAATAGAATGCACCTTCAGACTTTGACAGATGGAAAAAGATATGCATTGTCCACTTCCTTGCCTTTTTTTCTTGTTACTGGTGAAACTAGGTAACAGTACTTTTCCAGATATGTCCTGAGGATGATGCCCAACAGTCTGTTCAGTGTGGGGAAGTGCCCTAGCTGTCTGCTCACGCCAGGATCAGACTCTACAGGCAGGTGGTACCCACTGTCTGCAGCCTGAAGACGTCAGAGTCAGGAACACCCCAAATGCCTCTTTCCATTACTTCCACAAAACAATGCCCAAATAAGTATTTGGAAACCAGTATGCTTTACTGGAAAGAGGTAAAAATTCTCTCCGAAATCATGGGAAGCACAGAACATGGAGCAGTTATGTTGGGTCATTTTGCACTGTGGGTGATAGTTCTTCCGTCTAAATGCAGACACTTTCCAAAGCAAGGTAATTTCCCAATGCTCTCTGTATGGATAATAGATAGAAATGAGCTATTTTGAGAGACCCAGTGAATGGTACTATAGAGCAGATCCTGTCTTTGGCAGAGTTGTGTGTTAATATGGTTATCTTCCTAAACTAATTTGAACTTACAGTCTGCATATGCCTAGATTTTATTCACAGAAGACAGCCAAGTTGTAAAAAAAAAAAGCAGAAAGTCACATTTCAATTCTATTCAGTTACCTTTTTACTTTTTAACACTTCAGCAGCACCTAAAGGTCTTTAACCTGGTTTTCTTTTTAACTCTTCAGATATAGCTGTTTTCCAACTGATATTTTAGTATTAGAATTCAGAATCTAATCAGACCTAGAAAATTGCAGTTTCTCACTGCTAAGTTTATGAGAAAAAATAAGAAAATTTTGCTTATATTTTGGTTTGAGAAAAAAAACTATGGAAATCGGAAGCCTTCACATTAAGTATAGTTGTCTTTGGAGCACACTCCTCAGCATGTATCTAGGATAATCATTGATGAAGTGACTGGAGGACATAAGCAGGTGTATGTAAATACAGCTTTTAATTTCAGAAGTGATAGGATTAATGCAAAGTCCACTGAATTTAGTATAAAAACTGTTGTTTATTGCAGAGGTCTCTGTATCATGCCTAATATTTCTATTTATTTTAGCTGCACATTTTCACTAAGCCTACAGATGATATGCAGTTCAGTTACTGCAATGTTACAATAATTCACTGGAGTCCATTTTGTAAGAAAAATACATGTGGGCTGTATTTTGAAAATCTGTTGCAAATGCTGATGAATGTAAGGAAACCAGAAGGCTGGCCTACTGGAGTGTTGCTGTAATATTGCTTTTTCACAACTGTGGAGAGAAATTCACTATATTGCTGCAGAGCATCAGAATGATTCTTTATGAATGATTATATTATTATTGGTATGGCAGCTTATCTGCTTTCTTTCCTGATAACGACCATAGCGAAGAACAAGTATTTTTCCTGTTGAATGTCCTATTTTTCTACACTTTTTTACATTTTTCTGGTTACTACAGTGTGCGGTACATTCTATAGCTAGTGGCCTGTTAAGTTGTGCTAAATGTGAAAACAAAATGTATAGCTTTATTAATGGTGATTAATGTTGAACCTACTTACTAAGTCAACTACATCATCAACTTGTGATAGACTGGTTAAGGAATCTTCTTCTCTTTGAAATACAGAAGTTCATTCCTCTTACTCGTGTTTCCATCATATGATGACACTCTAAGCAGAAGGCAGTATGCAAAATATATGATCCACAGGATCTCTCCAGAGAATTTTTAATGTTGGATATTTAGTGGTGGGACTTTCCTAGCTTGTAATCATACTGAAGTAACCAAATCCTGTTGCATTAGTGGACAGATTTCTGGATAAAACCTCTGTTTTTAACAGCAGCTTAATTGTGAGTACAGCTAATATATTGTAACATAGTTAATGAAGAATGTGTATGAGCATCAACTTTAACTGATTTTTTTCAATCCCAGCTGTGCATTGCAGAAGCAAAATGAAGTTCCAAAAATAGAATTTGACATTAAGTTTCTTAGTATTTGTCCTCAAGTTTAAAAGATAAAAATAAAAGCACTGAAAAGTAGCTGCTACTCTCACTAAAATAAAAGATGTCTGTTATTGAAGGCTCACTGAAATAATGAGAAAAAGAAAACCCAATGTTTGGAACTTAAAATTTATAGTTGAATTTCAATAGCATTCCTGTGAGTTTCACTCCTGATAATAATGCAAGAAACAGAGAATGAATTCAGAAGAATTAAGAGTTTCAATTGAATTAGAATTTGTCACATTAAAAAAAGAAAATAAAAAAGGGAAGGACCGAATGCATGATAATGTTGGGCCTATTAGAAAATACTGATTATCACAAGGTAAAAGAATAATAGATAGACTTGGAGCTGCAAGTAAAGCACTTCACGCGATCAGCAAATTCTTTTCGAAGGAGTTTCAGGGAGGGTTCGTTTGCCTGACCGTTAGACAAACAATGGTGTCTGAATTTGTCATCTTTGGTTGCCTTTTTCATTACTGAAAAGAAATTGTCACCTCTAAATAGTACGTTCATGAGGCTAACTTGAATACTTAAATTACAATGACATCTATACTTCTGCATTTACTGTGGCGAGATCCTAGGGCATAGATGTCTGACTTACAGATGTCTACAGTAAGGCAGTTACCCAGACACTGGTGCCCCAAAAGTGGGATCATTTACCTGGTATGCAGCACACCAATATACACATAGAGCAGAGGTATTGTCTTTATTGCATATTTGCACAGATATGGGTGCTAGGTGATAATTCCACAAGGCTAGCATACCGCTTAGCAGAGTCACAACAACTATATACTCTTAGAAATACAAATTGTAGAATCATAGAATCATTAAGGTTGGAAAAGACCTCGAAGACCATCAAGTCCAACCGTCACCACAACACCACCGTGCCTACTAAACCATGTCCTGAAGTGCCACATCTACATGTTTTTTGAACACCTCCAGGGATGGGGACTCCACCACTTCCCTGGGCAACTTGTTACATGCTGATTGGTTCACCACATTACACGCTTGTCTTAGATTGTTATGGAGTAAAAGTTGGTATCAGCTCCAAGAGAAGCACTGGTAATACATGAATATCTAGAGCTTAGCCACTGCCTTTGACAAACATCCATCATAAAGTCAACTGTCACTGGTAATACATGAATATCTAGAGCTTAGCCACTGCCTTTGACAAACATGCATCATAAAGTCAACTGTTTCACATCACCTCAGACCCGAGTGATTTAAAAGCTCAAAGTACTTCAATATCAAGGAAAGGGAAATAAACTGAAGTGTAGGTGCTCTTGAATGGCAATCCTACAGAATGTATTATGAAATAACAATTTTGTGCTTTGTTGGGTTGTGGAGTCACAGTGCAGTACCTAGATTAATCACGTAACAGATGGCAGATGGCTTTCAGTGATTCAACATTAAAGAGATGGGCAATGGTTCAGAGAAGATCATAAAATGGTCTTCCTGCTGGACAGCATTAAAATATGATAATGCTGGTGTTGAGCCTGCTTGTGTTACTTGTGTGTAAATCATGAGTGAAGAGACGCGAAGACACAGTATGTGTCAGATGGTTACCCCAGAAGGCTGTCCTTAAAGAAAAGAGCTGTTCATCAAACCACCCCTGTGTTCTTGCCATAGACACTTTGGAAGGTTCATGGCATGGTGGTGAAGCAGCGTAGCAAGTGCCAGGTACCAGTACTGTTCATGTAGACATTGTTTTCTGGTCCTGATCCCTGAAGACTTTAATTCTGAGATTTCTCAGCATGTAATCCTTTATCTAAGTGTCTTCTAGAAAAGTTTTCTGCAAACAGAAAGAAAGGAAAGCATCATCTTACACTCTGGCATATAGAAGCTAGTGGTATACCCTCGCCTGTCCTGCTTCCCTTTCCACAGCTGCAATGTGGATGGACAGTACTGAAAAAAACATGATTTTGACAACAAGACATTACTAAAGCCATCTTGGACCCAAACTGAGATAGCTGGATATGAGAAAATGGAAACATTTAGGAACAGTCCTCAGCTTTAGAGAAACAATGTGTTTTGACTGTGTTAAAGGGTTTTTCAGATATAGCTAAAGTCAACACTTAACTGAGGACACGCAGTGTTCCCTGTAGAGAAACTCCTTCTATGAACTCTGAACTACCTACAGTTATGCGCCAGTGTTCAGATATTGTAGTACGGTACCAGCTCCTGCTGAACAAAAAATGTGAATGCCTTTAAATATAAATAAACTGCGAAGTGTGCTGAACAAAAAATGTGAATGCCTTTAAATATATTTAAACTGTGAAGTCTGCTGAACAAGGATTAACTCTACTGATTTTCATGAAGATGACTGATGACACAGTTTGCAATCTTGTGCTCACTGAACATGTGCAATTCTCACTGTCTTTGGTGAAGATTTGGGTGATTGAATATGAAGGCAATTCTGTGATCTCAGTAAGAAAAAGCATTCAAAAAATTACCTATTTTCAACCTAAAGTGCATGAACAGTTGATCATAGTCAAAAAAGGAAAAGCAAGAAAAGAAAGGGATGTGCTGGAAGGAGAAAACTAAATCTGATGATGTGAACCCATGTGGCCCTTAACATTCTGTTTTTGTTTTCATGATGATTTGAAGATGCTACTGTTGATCTTCAGGATGAAGCAACAATTCACTGCAAACTTCCTTGATGTTGTTCAGAGTTTTAAAGTTTTGGAAAGATATTGTGTATAGAAATAATGGGATCTGAGATTTGAGTTTGCTTTGCTTTTTAATTATCTCCAGCTATGGTGAAAAAATTAGGGGGAAAAAAGAGACTGTTTTGGAGGTGTCCTTAGGGAAACTTCATAAGGTTACTTGTTTTCCTGCAGAGGCCCTGCTTCTTCCCGTGCAATGTACAGAGAAGTCGGTGGATCTAAATTAGATTTCTGTGTGAAGATGGGGAAGTTACATGCACTTCTCTATAACTCCTCTATAGTTCTCTATGAATGCCCAGTTCCCAGACTAGGCAAAATGGCATGAGAATAAAACAGAAGTCTACAGCTATTCAAATCCAGAGACTACCAAATGTTGTAGCTGTTTTCATGATATTATTAAAATTATAAACTGTCTCTGTCCCCTAGAGTTCCCAGTGTCTAATAACATTTGCCAATGTGAAATTATTTTTCTCTGTATTCCCTGCAGCATGGGTGTGGAAATTTTGTCCGTGTGATACAGTCGTACAATCGCACACACCTGTACGTCTGCGGCAGCGGCGCCTTCAGCCCTGTATGTGTGTATGTCAACAGAGGACGCAGGTCAGAGGTAAGTCTCTTTTCATTTTAGTCCCTCATTTTGTGGTGCATCTTACCAGTGTTATGCAAAAATCAACATTTTGAAAATTCAAAAATCAATGATACGAACAGGTTCCTTCACCCATGTTAAGCAGAAAAAGAACAAAGATCCATCATTTTCTGACCAGTGACCAGCTAGAAGCAAAGCCAATATCAAAATCCATGCCTCAAATATGATGGTTGTCCAGAATTCCATGGTCATACCAAATTCTGGGCTACATTTTATACTACTTTTTATTTGGCATTGTCTGGTGAATTCATTCCTACTATTTGTTGGAAAAATTGCCAAGAAATACTTGAAAGGAAATAGCCAGTTAGATAAAAAGTAAAATATGCAGTCCACTTTTTATAACTTCCATGTGTTACGGATTTCTGGGAGAAGCCCTTAAGTGGGCTAACTGTTCAAGTATGTGAAGGTTTTCTGGACTTCAGCGTAATACCCACTGGATGCAATCCCAGTACAGGTAACTTTCATCTTCTGCAGAAGTTTTGCCCCAGTAGATTCTGCCAGGATGAAGTCAGTAAGTTTTCCCATTGCTGTAAGGTCTTCCAGGGCGTAGATATTGTTTTCTCCAGATAGATCTCCAATTTTTCTATATTCACTTTCATTGTGTGTTTTAAATATACAGAGTACCAGATGTTTCATAAATACATTATCCAGGTTTCCTGATTTGAAAATTAAATGTCTGTTTATGTGCAAATGCAATAGATAATAAATTAAATAACCAGAAGGAGAAAGAAAAGCACTTAACCGAGATCCAGCACGTCAGTAGCTTTTGGGTCAGATTTGTGTCTGCAGGCACAGGGGTGTGCACTATATTTTCCTGTACGATGTGGAGGCAGATGTGTTGGGAAGGAAGATCAGACAGTGCTGCATGGAGTCTTGCCATGTGAGGGCAGCTTTAAAAGCTGGGCTGACTCCTAGGGAAGACACTGGGAAATTCATCACTGATTTCATTGGGAGTGGGATGAGAATTCTGGCCAAGACCCAAGACTACTGCAGAGGTTGCCAGGAGGTGATAAATCATTGTTGCTCCAGGTAGGCTTGCAAGGGATGATCTCAGTGACTTTTGGTAGATCCCTACCTGACTCCAGCCTCCTTAACAGAGTATATAGTCTGAATCACTGCACCTTCAGTCCTAATGAATTGTCTAAAAGTAGAGGTTCATCAGCCTGGATTTAAAAGCACAAGCAGCAGAACTGAAGAAGTAAATCCATCCTTGTGGTTAGCAGAGTCTGTGTTAACTTATTTTGAAGAATTTAGAAACTGAAGTCAGCCTTCCTCAGCGTTATCCTATTTCTTGACAAATTAGTTAAAACATGGAAAGTGATCTCATTTGTCTCTAATTAATGCAATAGTCCTGTATCAGCTTAAGTAGTAGTACTGTAGCCCAGAAAAGTCTGAATCCCATTATTTTAGGGTTTTTGTAAATGGCAGCGGGGGGCAGAGGGGAGTAGAGTGGGAAATGACTTCTCCAGATGAAGCAAGATGTTAAATTTCTTAAGTTAAAAATACATGTCTTGGAAGAGCAGAACTGACTTCGCTTAGCCTGTCTGTATAGCTACATGCCTATGATCAATTGATTAAATAAACTGCTGTTTCAGACGTCTGGAGTCTGTCAGACACTTGACTGTAAGCATCGCATGCTCAAAGCCATTACTGTGCAGGCCAACAATAGCATAACAGTTTAAAACCAAGCATCTCCTTCTGAACTTATTGCATATATCAGTGCATAATGAATTAATAGAGCAGAATGAAGAACTATGTAGTGCTGATGGGTCTTGTGAGAACTCGTTTTTTCTCTGCTTTTATCATTTCACCTTTAATTTAATACAGTTTTCCATGTGTAAGAAGGCTGTTTTTGCATGTGCAGAACAGATATTTTAAAAAGCACATCTGATTTTCTCCAGAAGCTACAAAGCCTGACAGTAAGAGTCATATCCAGTAATCATAAGAACTGGGCCTATTTTGCTCCTTTGTCTCCAGGATTCCACATAAACTCACAGAAGAGGTGGTTTCACTGATGAGGCAGAAAGTTCTCCTTTTTCCTGAAACAAAGGTTAAAAAATAATTAATTTTCTTGCTAGGCACACTTGGTACTTTGGTCTTTGTTAATGACTCTCTTAGTCACCCAAATATATTCTAATGTTTCAGTAAGTGCAAACAGAAGGAAATGTAATCACTATGTGAATTAATTATAGACTAAAAAGTAGCTTAATATATATGAAAATCAAGTGTAATCCTGGAGCTAGTTTAATAGTGCAGTTATGGGCATTTTGAATTGGTAAATAGTGGTACAATATAGTAAATATGGATTAACATCAATCTGTGTACTCAGCTAGAAGTAAAACAACAACAAAAAAAACCCCAAGATCGTATTAGAAAATTCATACTTATGTTTTAACATTGTTTAGAGTTCTAGTTACTGAAACAACAGAAAAGATCTCTCTAATTAAATTAGGAAAAAGAGAAGAGGGGGAAAAGAGACAGGGGGTAATGGATATGAAAACTTCCTGCTGTAGCTGAGCATTTCATGTTGGTGGAGTCTCCAGTTCACTGTTGCCAAATGGCTGCTCACTGATCTGTGTGTCATCCCCATTCACTTTTGATTTATACTGATTGTTAAAGGGAATAAGAGTTGCTGCTCTTAGTCAGATAGCTAATAAATCGGCATCTACATCGCAGAAACCTTCTTTTGGAATTTTGTCAGCTACCTTTTTCTGTTGAAGCAGGAATGTTTTAAGTTTTGGTGTTTCTTTCCTTGTAATTGTGTCTTTTGGCTTTTTATTAAGGATTAGAAGTTTTTTATAGGAGGCTAGGAACAAGTTGTTTCTTTGATATGCAATAGTATGTGAGTCGATGTGCTATGGATCGATGTCTCTGCCATTACTGGCTGCAGTTTTTAAGGAATGGATTTGGCCCAAAGTGTCCCTTCTTGCTCAGCATGCTGCGCTCTTCGGTATTGCTGGGAACAAAGAAGTGAAGAAGTACACCAAGATGGGCGAATTTTCTGAAGGTATTCAGACTGTTCGTATTTCAAGCTGTAGTCCAGGTTGCTTCTACTTTGTTAGAGGTATTTATTATTTACAAATCACATGAAAGATTAAGAAAGACCCATACCAAGATACCTGAACACCAAAAAATTTCCAAGAGATTTCAGACTGTGGCAAGAGATACTGATAAACCATCTATCACTATGAAACTGGAGCTCTTTACATAATATAAGGGATGGTGTTGAAGAAAATAAGTGTAATTTAGGGAATTTGTGGAGGTCTGACAGCTCAGTAAAGAGCAAATGATTTATACTATCACCAAATGACAACTGTCATAGGAGATTTTTATTTAATATGCACTGTTATTCTAATAGCTTCATTATAATGTCCTACACTAGTATAAATATCACCATGTTTTCAGCAAATAAAGGATAAATAATTTCAAAAACAAAGAAGTCATCTTCATAGAGGTTACTGCAGAGATTAGTCAACCTTTCCAAAGCAGAAGTGAGTTAGAAGGAAAAATTCTTTGTTTCAGTGTCTTGAATTTGTAACAAGAGTCTTGAAAATAACTGGGTACCAATGAAAAACATGCCTAAAAAGATGATCAAATTCTGAATACAAAAGCTAAACTGCTGATAGTACAGCAAAAGTGCCCAGCAGTGCTGAGCATTGTTAATGCTGGAAACGGCCAAGCATAAAAATCACTTTACCTGTGATGGTTTCTGAAATGAGAAATGACACATAAATCTACATTGCAGGAACAAATCTTCAAGATCGACTCCAAGTGTGAATCAGGAAAGGGACGCTGTTCTTTCAACCCTAATGTGAACACGGTGTCTGTTATGATCAGTAAGTAAAAATACACCGAGTTTCTGAGGTCTAAACTCATATGATCATGCGTGGTGTGAACTGATGGGGTGCCTGAAGTGAGCTGGACACAGAAGTCACCCTCCAAGGAGCAGTACCTTGTGTCAGGCCGATGGGCACAAGGGTTGGGTCCATCCTTGTTTCAAGGTTTACATGAAGCTAAAGGTGGATGTGCAAATGAAATGAAGAAACAAGCAACTGAAAGCGAGAGAGAGAAATGGAAAACAAAAGATTGTCCCTTTTCCAGCTTACACATTTTTTCCCAGGGTTAGTTTCAACTTTGCATTACCCCGTCTAGCATTTTATGTCTGAACAGTTTCTGACCTTGTCCATCCTAGACAGCACTTGTGTCTCATTTAATTATTTGTAGAACCTCAGAGTAGCCAGGGAAAGAAAGCCTGAAGACCTTAGTTACTTTGAATTTCATTTTTGTTGTCATCTCTGCTGTAGAGCCCACCAGCTATTGCAAGGTTCTTCATTCTTCAGTTGGCTTTATACCCAACAAGTTTTGCAATTTTCTTCCATTTGAAAGGCGAGAAAGTGATACAGCAGACACACCTCAAAGATTCTTGTGACTTGGTGGCGACTGTACTCAGTGAGTGGGAGATGTATCCCATACAAAGAATTACTGCAGTGCCTATGGCACACCCAAGTGAAAACTCAAATGGGGCATATGCTTTGTGCAACCTGTAATCACTAAAAGAAACTTTTTTTATTGTTATGTTTTCAACCAGGAGGCACAGTATATATACTAAGTGTAACCCGACCTTTCACGTTTGCAGCATGTTCACAAGCTTCTAGTGCCAAAGCTGTGAATTTTCAACATGTGCCTCCTCCTTGCTATATTTTTGGCTATGAAGGGAACAGCAGTTGCACAGATTTTTCAGGCTTTCTGAGCAAATAAAACTTAGTGCACACAGGTACTGTGTATTTCACACAGAGTTTACAAGGGAACAATGTGAGGAGAGTCTGCCACTTGGCTTCCACTGAAATCATTGGCATTTACATACTATGCCAGATATTTCCTTTAAAGTTTGAGTCTCATGAAGCTGAAGGGAAGTGTCATATAGTCTATCCTATGTGGTTTGTTCAAAATATAAATTAACTTTTTTTTTTTTTATTCCTCATTGCAAATGCATTTGGTACAAAGGACAAGTAATTTCATTCACAGAGGTGTGAACTGAAGCACCTTTAGAAGACAAGCAAATGCTGCCTAGATACTTCCCTGAACCTTGGCTACACTTATATCTTTATCTCATCAGTGATCTACGGTCAGTGTATAGACACTCACTGTGTAAAGGAAATGTTTGCTCAAAGTCAGTGATGGATTAATCCACTGCTACTCATTGCTGTTCTGGTATTATTAAGTGAATCAGCTGCCATTAAAAATCAAAACAAAGTTTCCTTTCCTTTTTCCTTCTGGATTTTATGAAATACCATTACAGTACATTGTTTCTGAATCACTGTATATACAGTAAGTTGATTTTTTCCTACAATAGATCTATGGCAGCTTTGTTCATCTTAGTAGACTTTATATTATCTTCCTTGATCTCTCAGTTATGTGACTGAAGAGATCTTCCCTACTGTTTGACTTATCTTTCATGACATAATTCATCTACAAAGTTTAAATTATTCTGCAAAGGTCACATTATTTTTCAAAAGAGTCCCACAGACTGAGTTTTATACTTTTTCCCTGTTACTACAAAGTCCAGTCACCTCAAAAACATTAAGCTTGAATGAATTTATCCTCAATAACCATGCCAGAAAAGGGAAGATTTGGCAAATCACAGCTTGAGTTAAAATGCAAGGACTGAGCCCATGTACTGGACTTTCCTTTGAACATTCTTCTGCAGGAGGAATTCCTTCCTCTTACTTCAGAAGACAGGAAATACTGCCAGACTGGGTAACTCTTCCACAACAAAAGAATCGTTTTTAAATATAGCTGCAATTTCTTGACAATTTTGGGCATCACCAGTCTAGAATACAGCAGGAGAGCTGATTCACCCTCAGAGGAAAGTGGTGCTATAAAAATAAGGTTGAACTTGGTACTATTTGCCGTTGTACAAAGACACTTTTGCATCAAAGTGGTGGAAAATGACCTTTGAAGTTTGACATAACTAATGTGTGGGGTGCATGTCTCTCTCCCCACCAAACCTCTGAGATATTTATAAAAGCAGACATACCTCATCAATTCAGTAATTCCCCCAATAACAAAGAAAAGTAGTGTGAACTAGTTGTGCTGTGCAGACCAAGTGCTGTGCAGAATTTAAGAATTTAGCAAAAGGAGGTGGAGCTGATAGATATCATCTGATACGTCATTAGCAAGTAGATGCTAGGAATGCTTAAGACATAACTAACAGCATTGTTATGTTATAGGATTAAAATTACATACTGTAGTCCTATTGTTAAAGTGTGTGCGTATGTGTATACGCTTAGAACTGTATATAACATTTAGTGAGAACCATAAGCCTGATCTCTTTCAGCCAATTTATTTCATAACAAGAATAAAGCTCTGGTGGATAAAGGCAGTGGGGCCAATATACAAAATCATTTATGAATCAGTATAGATCTAACATCATTCTGTCAAGACATGCTCAGGAAGTAAGTGCTTCACAAACATGGAGCGATTGCATTGTTTAAATCCCCTGTGTATGACTCCTGTCATCACTGGGAGAGATGCGAGCAGAAGAGTGGCTGCTGGCTGCTCTGCAGGGGTTCAGCTCAGGCTCTAGCCAGCAGCGGAAAAACAAAATCTCCACAGTTCTAATTGTCTCATGAGACAATAGTCTTCCATGTAGATGCACACACACACACATGCATACAGAGCATAAAAATATCCTAAGCACTTCTGAACCTGTGACTCTTGCCAGCTTGACCACACTCTCTGGGTAGTCCAGGAATTCAGACAAAAACATCAATCAAAGGACCCAGCTGTACTGGAATGTATTCAGCCACGACTCCCACTCTGAGAGTTAGAGTTTATTTTAGCTACTGTTTTCTTCTCTGGGGTTTCACTGTCATTAGTCAGTGGAAATTGCTTGGTTATTCATGGAGTAGAAAATGATAGTATATGTAATTATGATTATAATTATATATACATGTATTTATGCACACACATAGACTCACACAAACACAGATCTACATCCTGACTGATGGACGGAGTTTCCAGCCCTGCACAGGGGCTCATAGTTCTGTTAATGTAAGAGTTGCGTGTCTAATTCTGTTCAAGCATAAAGACCCTATACTTAGAACCGACTACATAAAAGGGCACAATTGTTGCTCTGAATTACTCTGTGTGAAGTTCAATAATATGATTGTCTGTCCTCTGCAATACTGAAGTCAACTTGAGGCTGCCTGGGGCAGCTGTGACAATCCTGTTGGTAAAAATTGGCACTGATCCATTGACTGCAATAGATGTTGTGCCAGTTTACACCAGCAATAAATTCAGCCCAGTCATTTTGTCTACTCCCATATCAAAAAAAGATTTTTGAACTACTTATTTAAAAAATTGACTGTGATTCTTTTTGATAATACTAGTCTGATGTGCAGTTCTGCTGTTGCGTTTAAGCATGCAGTTTTAAGCAAAATCTGACGATACTTGTGCATTCTATATTATGTCTTTGTAAATCAGAGGAAAACCTGTTCCCATGACCCAATATTTATCTGTATAGACTCCTGTGTAAATAAAGAGCTGATGGATTTCAGATAAAAATAGTGCATTTTCTTTTTCCCCTCCATTTCAATTCTTTGTAGATGAAGAGCTTTTTTCAGGAATGTATATTGATTTCATGGGGACGGATGCGGCGATTTTTCGGAGTCTGACGAGGAGGAATGCAGTGCGAACCGACCAGCACAACTCCAAGTGGCTGAGTGGTGAGATGCCTTTGTTTTACAAGAGCTTTTAATGGGTTTCACAGAGATTCTGCTTTGCTTTGTTGAAAATAAAGAGCTTGACTTTTAAAGAGCTTTTCTGTGAATTTAATTTATGATGTTGATCTATGAAGAAATGCATGTAAATACATATGATAGACAATGTACTCATATAAAGGGTTCACTGATGAGCCAGTATCTTAGGCCACCCCACCTGGTGCCTTTTTTTGCTTTAAGACTGAACCAAACTGTTCCGGGGAAAGTGTATGAAAACCTTTCAGATGTCAAGTGGTCAGGCAATCTGTCTTCTAGGGAAGTGCCTTCTCCACCTCTAATGCACCAGACATTGCCTTAAATTAGACTGCTCAATTCTAAGTTTTTTTCTAATGAATTACCAACTTCGGTTAATTCAGGTTGATCCACCTCTGTACAGGAGACTGTCCACCACTTGCATTCAAAATTTGTGCAGAAGAGAGTCCCGTTATCGGAGAAGTCATTGGCAATTATTATCATTTATTTCAGTGGTAAGAAATTGATTATCAAAACACAGCAGGAAAACTAATTTCTGAATGCAAACACTTAACTCTTGGCTTTACTGAAATCATGGTGAAAATTCTCCCTGACTTTACTGGTGAGAAGACTTCTACCAAATAAACTATTTTGAATTAAAATGGTGGTCAACCCTCTGAGCATAGATAGATGTCAAAGGTTATAGAGCAACTAACATAGCAGTTCCAATTTAAAACAGCCTGCAAGTATGTTGAAGTAAAGTTTCTGTGTCTTTCTCTTGACTACTTTTAGGGTGACTCTTGTTATTCCTGTGTGGCTGTGACCACAGAGAAATCACAGGATTGCGATCAGAATAAATTCAATTCACTATGAACAGGAAACTAACTCTGCTTTCTAGATTTTTCTTCTGTTTGCTATATATTCTTACAGTTATCTGCACACCCTGAAGTATGCATCCTAAAGTGAGATAGGGAAAAAGAACCATTAAAATTCCTGATTTCTGGAAAATCTGCCTGTTACATATGCTCAGAACAGGTACTTGACAAGCACAATTGATTCCCGTGTTCTTTTAGAGCCAAAGTCTTGACACAACTTATATTAATTGAGAATGGGCTCATGTGAATAGAAAAATGCTGCAGACTACAGTGAGTTTTCTGTCAGAGATCCAACCTTTCTATCGGATTGTTTCAAGGTTTATACTGTATTTCAACTGATTCAAGCCATCTTGCGTGATTATTGAAAAGATACATTCCTTCATGCAGTAATAGGGTCCACTTTTTCCTTCAGACAGAGGAGAACATCTTCTGAGGGCTCCTCTGCAATGCATTATATGCTTGCCCTTAAGGATACGAATTATTTTGCTCTCTCACTAGTGCTCCTTTGTGTTTTTTTGCATGTACACTTGGTTATTTTTATCAGCCTCTGATGTGAACTCTAATGCTGTTCGAGCATCTGCATACCCTGCTTTCCTTCTCCATGTTCCACGAGTTATTTTCCTCTCTTATTCATGTACCTTATTTGTTCTTTTCCTAATGAGGCTTTCAGCAACTTACTTTTATGATTTGCCTCAATCAGTCTTTCCTTAAGTGCCCCTGGTAACACACTGATTCTTCCCACTTCTTCCTCCAAGTCTTTGAGCCTCTGCAAGTAAACTAATACTGTTGCTTCTGTGTTTGAATTGCTTTTCTAAAAATACGCTGTGGGATGAAAAGTGAGGACACAGAAACTTAAGGCTGCCAGCAAGCAGGCATTTACCTGGTGATATCTGGTGTATCCGCACACGAGGCTAGAGCGTATAGCCTAACCTGCCACAGTAGTGCCTCGGTATGCATTGTATAGCATTTGCTTGCATTCAGTAACTCTCAAAACATTATTTTCTGATACTGATATATCTTTTGGTTTCATCTTTTTGGTATACTGTTTCATTTCAGAGCCTATTTTTGTGGATGCTCATGTTATCCCAGATGGCACTGACCCCAACGATGCCAAAATCTACTTCTTCTTCAAAGAAAGACTCACAGACAACAGTGGCAGCACAAAGCAAATTCATTCAATGATTGCAAGAATATGCCCGGTAAGAACTATTTTGTTTGCCAGGTTGTTGGGACAAGCTGCTAGTATGACATGAGAAGCTAAAAGAATAAAGGATTGAAAAGCCTTTGACTTATATTTGAAACAAATTTCCTGTTTCAGTTTCCACATGCATAATTAAGTACAGCCGTTACTGAACACACAGCTAGGGTCTGAACATGTTATATATATCTGGCTATACCTATAATGATAAGGAAATCCATAGATTCAGGAATTTGTGTATTTCTCTGCCTGACTCAGAATAGTTACCATCATTGAATTTCCAAACTTGCTGTCCTTTGCACAAACGAGGTGCATTCTTTGGTTAGAAAAACTGAATTATAAGACAGTGAAGCCTTTGTCACACATACACAAACACACTCAAAATCTTTTAAACACATTGGAAATATCAGAGCCAAACTTTTTGATGGGTTGATTTAAGTTTCAGATATTTTTTTCATTTTTACAATGTCTGTCCTTTCTGAGTTCTTGCATTGATGTATGTGTGAGCCCAACTTTAAAAACGTGCACAGGAAAATTATATTCAGGAGTTATGGCTACTCCTGTGCAGTAATTAATTTACGATTGCAGTGCTCCTCATTTTCTCTATTTCCTTTTTTGTATCTGTAATCAACTGTAGATGAAAAATGATTGAAACAGCTATTAATATCTCTGGTGAAATGCATTTTTTTTAATGAGAGCAAAATTATGAATGCACAATTACTGCTAACCTTTTCATTCCTCCTTTTGGAAAGGTTCAGGAAGATAATTGTCAGTGTTTGTGTGTTCCTTGCCTTAAATCTGGGTCTTCTTTAGAATGTGATGCTTTGTGATGTTGTTGTGCATGGGTGTGAGGGCGTGTTTGGGATTGTGTCAAACTCCTGCTTTAGCAATATGACGAGGCGTGTGATCTCTTTTATAATCTCCATTTTCTGTATTTTTGAGAGGGTGCCCAAAGGCCTTTTTTGGTATTTTGCAAGAAGACATTTCACACAATTATAGCTGTGTTTGTTATTGTTACTCTTATAATGAAGCCCAGATGATTTCCGAAAGGCCTCAGCCTGTTTAGACTTACACTGAAGTCAGTGGCAGAATCCCAAAGCCAACAAAAATAAATCTAAGCCGGTCATATTTGTATACTTGTATACCATCATATTCATATATCAACACCTTTGAGACTGGCCAAATATATTGGTACAATGGTGTCAAAAGAGATGCCCCCAGAAGACCCCTTATGGGTCACCCAGAAAGTCAGATTTGAGCTCCAGGACCACCAGTGAAACACGCACAGCATTTCACTGAAATCACATTTACCTAGCTTCTACATTTCCTTTTTACCTTTCCTTCGGTGACATTGTGCTGTGCAGTTTAGAAGATACTGCTTGTATCTAAGGCATTCACCAACAGAATGAGGCAGGAGCTGCACCATCTGGTTTAGCAGTTACAGTTTCGACTGAAGAGAGGTAGAGATCCTTGGGCAAGCTGTGACCAAGCCAACTCTGGACCAAGGTAGTGGGACTTGCAACAGTGCAAACCTAGCTTGACCCATGCTAACCATGATTTCTGAATTTAGTTCACAGCATCCAACCCATGGGCCAGCATGACTTACTAGGTCAGATGCAGCTATACTGCTGTCAGGATTAGAAGAAACATGCCTCCACAGACCTGTTAGAACTTTTAGAGGTAGCATGGACTTCTCCACACTAAGTGTCAGTGAGCGATACAGACCTGCACAGTCCTTTCCAATCGTACCTACGCACACTGCTGCTGCACAGAATCTACTGCCCAACCCTCCCAAGGCTGCTAGCCCAGCACAGAATGTCTGCTCAGAAAACTAGTTCTTCTTTTTCCCCTATCTAGAGTGTTTAGATGAGGGGATTTGGTTTCATAGAATCATAGAATGGTTTGTGTTGAAAGGAATCTTAAAGATCATCTAGTTCCAGTCCCCCTGCCTGAGCCGGGACACCTTCCACTAGACCAGATTGCTCTAAGCCCCATCCAAGCTGGCCTTGAACACTTCCAGGGAGGGCACATCCTTGACCTCTCTGGGCAACCTGGTCCAGTGCCTCACAACCCTCATTGTAAATGATTTCTTCCTTATATCTAATCTAAACCTACCCTTGTTTAAAGCCACTACCCCTTGTCCTGTCACCACAGGCCCTTGTAAAAAGTCCCTCACAAGCTTTCTTGTAGGCCCCTTCAAGTGCTGGAAGGCTGCAACAAGGTCTCCCCGGAGCCTTCTCTTCTCCAGGCTGAACAGCCCCAACTCTCTCAGCCTGTCCTCATAGGAGAGGTGTTCAGCTCTCTGATCATTTTTGTGGCCTCCTCTGGACCCTCTCCAACAGGTCCATGTCTTTCCTGTGCTGAGGAGAGCAGAGTTGCAGAATCCCCTCCCGCAACCTGCTGGCCATGCTGATGGGGATACAGTCCAGGGTACGGTTGGCCTTCTGGGCTGTGAACGCATACTGTGAGGTCGTGCTGAGCTTCTGGTCAACCAGCAACCCCAAGTCCTTCTCAGCAGGGCTGCTCTCAGTTTCTGCCCAGCCCATATTTGCGCTTGGGATTGTCCCGACCTGTGTGCAGGACCTTGCCCTTGGCCTTGTTGAATTTCATGAAGTTCACACAAGCCCACCTCTCACACCTGTCCAAGTCTCTCTGGATGGCATCCCTTCCCTCCAGCATGTTGACTGCACCACACAGCTTGGTGTCATTGGCAAACCTGCTGAGGGTGCGCTCAATCCCACTGTCCATGTTGCTGACAAAGATGTTAAACAGCATGGTTTAGGCTTACTTATTTTTTATATTGAATATGCCAGCATAATTGTCTAGATGGTGAGTCAGATTAACCTGAGGAAAATGTGTGAAAGCCCATTAAAATGTTAGCTGTGTTGTATTTTTTTCCTGAAAATAATACTCTTTTTCAGAATGACACCGGTGGTCAGCGTAGTCTTGTGAACAAGTGGACAACATTCTTGAAGGCAAGACTTGTATGCTCAGTCATGGATGAAGATGGAACAGAAACGTACTTTGATGAATTAGGTATGGCAAGAAAACCCCTTAAAAGTTTTATCTAAATCCTGCACCCTGGGCATATTTAATTATTGATGTTTGTACAGCTCCTTAGTGAATTTGTTGACAGTAAAATCTTGGCCCTGTAGAAATTAATGACAAAATTCTGCTTGCAGTTTTATGATGGGAAATGAAAAAATTATTCATAAATCTCTCTGGGTAATTGACGTTATCTTTGAAATAAAGCTAAGTAATCTTAACTATGTAAAGGCATTACATATGTAAAGAATTAATATTTGGAAGGGAACATGTAAGTGAAGTCTATTTTTTTTTTGCTCCTACTTAGGATTGTGGTAGAGGTTTTTTAACATCTCTTTGAAACTATTTCTTATACCACTGTGTAACATACAGCTTTTCCACAATACTGTTTTTCTTTTTTGATCACTGGGTAGAGGCCTCAATTTGATAGTTTAAAGTTCAAGATAATACTAATAAATCCTGTCACTTGCATCAGCAATAGTATTATGAATAAATATTCATTGAATAATCTATAAGCAGTCACAAGCTGTGTGAGGAATTAATAGGTGCGTATCTTAATACATAAGTGCCAAACAACATTATCAGAAAGTTTCAAATTCTATATTGTCCATAGCTATGACATACAAAGTCATAGTTCTAAATTCAGATATTGGAAGATCTGGTATGTGTATTAGTATAAACATAAAGATTATAAATAGCTAATGGACCCCACACTGGGGCTGCATCTGATTCTGACCTTCTTTCCATCATATTCTCTCTCTCTTTTCCCTGTCGTTATTCCTGATTCTCATCATAGCAAATGGAGTTTGGAGTCTTTTTTACTTTATGTCTTTACAAATATTTGGCATACTTGCTTTGGTTCAAGGTTTCAATGGAACCTGATGGGCCTAGGAGCACATCCGAACTTGCTGTTACTCAGAATATGCAAGGAGCTTGGAGGACTGACTTCCAGAATTTCCCAGTGCCTCCTACCACTACCACAGCAACTAATCTTCCAGAGCTGTGATTTACCAGCTCAATCCTCTTCAGCAAAGCAGTAAGATAACTGCTTTTAGGTTTTTGTGTGACAAAATGGAGGATCATACAGAACAGGAGACAATGTTCTGATCATGGGCTCCCAGCACAATCCTGTAGCAAAAAGTATGAATTCATGTATAGTGCAGAAGAGTGCAACATTGCCAGTCCTGCATGGTGAAGTCTTGCTTTTTGGCATATTTAACAGAATGCTTAAAAATTTCAGAGGGTAAATGAAGGAGCCACATAAATTAATGGAAAGCTAAAGAACGTATATTATGATAAACAGCTCAAACAGTTCAGTCTTTTTATGTGATGTAAAATAAGTTTAAGAGGTAGCTTGATTATAGCTATTAAAAACATTTATAATGAGAAACTGTCAGAGATTAAAGTATTTTTCATTGAAGTGTAAAAAAAAATCAACAGATCAGAGGTAAAGGTGGGCAAATTCAGTTCAGTGAGCAGGTACAGTTTTACGTAGCGCAGTCAGTAAATCCCTATACAATGGGAGCTGGGAGGTTTACATCACTCAGTGTCTTCACTGCAAAGCTTTGTCATTCATATCATGGTGAAAATGAGCTAGTGAGGGCATCTAGAGTGTGTACTGGGCGATAAAATACCTAATTGTCCTGCTTTGAATTATATCCATCTATGGGTATAACCTCTTTTGTCTTTGACCTACTGCAACTTTAATGTTTGCCGACTGTTGAACAACCTGCTGAGATGAGATCCAGCTGAGAGAAATGGGTGACACTGATCCTGAACACACCTGAAAATCTCTGCCTTCTGTCTTCATAAGGCTAGATGTCATGGAGTTAATTTTCAAAACTGTTTCTGAATGTTCAAATGCTAGATTTATGCATATGATCCATTCACACGAGAAGTCTGCTTCTTCCCATTCAACAAACTGGGAAAAAAAGTTTTTATTAGTATTCAAAATGTTTTTTCTTTTACCTTTCCTGTCTTACAGAGGATGTGTTTCTTCTAGAGACAGATAACCCAAGAACAACACTTGTGTATGGAATTTTTATAACATCAAGGTAAATGGGGAGATTTGAGAAAAGTTAGCTTTCTGAACTTCCTGCTTTTCTGTACAAAAAATGAAAGTGATATTTTGTGGTCAAGGCTGTTCTGTACAATTTTGTGTGTCTGTTGTGGCCATCATTTGCATGCAGGAGTGACGGTCTCAGTATCATTACTGTTGGTATGCATGTTAGAGCTATGCTGCTTGGAGCAAACTGCTCCCTGCATACTGCCAGCTGGAAGTGGGAAAACATTTCTGTGGAGGGCCACTAGTTACTGTTCAACAGAAGAAAGCTAACCGCCTTCAACGCAGTGAACTCCTGTGGCATCTGAGAGCACTTAACACCTCCTGAAGGACATCCAGCACCCTGAAGGATCAAACCGGGAATTCTTACGTGAATTCATACAAATCATTTCCAGTCTCTCAGCTGGCAAATGATTGCACAGATGGCAAATAACTGGTGTCGGCTTCAGTTGTCTATGAAAAGACAAGCTTATATGGTATTTGATCACCTCCGTGCAGCCTTAAGTTCCCCATTATCAGTCAGAAGTATTCACTTACTGTCTAGTTTAGAAAGCATTCAGTGAGCTCCCAAGGGCAGTGGAAGTACTACATATGGCTTACTACGCTGAAACTCTCCACAAAGACAGATTGACAGGAGGACCAACAGACTCTGACATCTCTACCTTTATTTTTTTCACTTTTCTTCCCTCACCACAGAGTGCTAGTATACAGAGTAGAAACAGTTACTGCTTGCTGGTTTCTGATATTCTGTTCTGTATTATTTGGCTGTTATTACTTAAATTCAAGAGGGGTTTTTGCTTTTTTTTAATTTCATTTAATTTATTTGGTCAAATTGGCGATTGTTTTTAAACTTACTACTAGTAATTCCTTTAATGGCAATTTCTAGTAAAAAAAAACTTGCATGAAAAAATATTTTTTCCTGGTACACTTTTCTGTCTTTTTTCATGTGGATCCAGAGATCTGCTTTCTCAAATGTGTGACCAAGCCAGAAAAATATGATTTTATAATATTTAATTGGGGAAAAAAAGAATCCCATAACCTGTAACATGTGGTGCTATCTACATTTTATGATTCCTACTGCACACAAAGAGAAAATGCTGAGGTTATGTTTAGCAGTAAAACCACACTTATGATTAGGTTGTGGATGCAACATGCCTGAACTGGAAACACTTTTACCTAATTCTCCTGGTATTCCTGCAGAGGAAATGAGGTTTGAATCACAGGACCATATAAGGTGACAACAAAGAGAAAACTTCACTTTCTCCTGGCTCTCAAGCTGTTTTCTTTATTGAAATTTTTACACTTCTCATGCATTTCTGTTATCATGAGCCACATGGTCTATGCTTTCTTTCTCTGTGCTTGACAGTAGACTGAATGTGTTACTTAAATACAGCTATTGTAACAATTTCTACTCCTTCACAGTTCCTTTATCTTTGCCTCTGTAGACCTCCAACTCATAACAGTAGTAAGAGAGAAACATCTCGACAAATAATAACTATTAGTTCTTGTATCTACACCATACAGAAGGAAACCAAGTAATATTAAAATAAATTTTTTGGTGGCATAACCTGCTGTAAATCTAATATAAAACATCTGGAAAGATTAAATATAGTTCTTAAAATCTACTAATACCTACTAAAATTTCCACAAATACCATAATGATTCTAAAAGAATCCTCCTGCTAATCCATATATAGCTGAGAGCAATGTGGATTGCACTTTCCTTGTATAGACACTATGTATAACGTTTTCAGGTTTTTTTTGGAGTGTGGGTTGGTTGTGGGTTTTTTTTCCAGTTGAAAACAAAGGGTTACTTGAATTATCTTCATCCTACAGTTAACATCAGGCACATTTCAGACTGCCCAGAGTTTCCACTTTGTTAAGATAAATATCCCAATCCTGTTATGGAATGAGAGAATAAAAAGTTAATTTCACTTCAGTCAGCCTTAGCATCACTCTGGAAGCATCTTGGAGCACTGTAACATGTTGCCTGGAGAGGATGTGGATTCTCCTTCTCTTGAGATATTCAAGACCTGCCTGGACAAGGTCCTGTGCAGCCTGCTGTAGGTGACCCTGCTTCAGCAGGGGGGTTGGACTGGGTGATCCACAGATGTCCCTTCCCACCCCTACCATACTGTGACTCTGTGAAATTATTCCCCTAGTGCCCTCCATCATCGGGAGGTGATGGAGGCCATTCAGGGCTTGTGCTGGCTGAAGAGACATCTGAGACCATTGATGAATCCAGAGCAGTGGAAAAAGATGCCATTCTCATAGGTGACTCCCCCAGGATCTCCTCAGGAAGCATCAAACTTCAGCCCTCTTGAAGGGGTCTTTGTAAGGCCAGTTTTGTGGGTGGATTTGAGGACTGTGTAGGAGTAATTCCTTTACAGCCACAACCTGTCCCCATTATGCTTAGGAAAGCTGGCAACTGGTTGTAATAATCTAACCAATTGTAATTGCGCTGGATGTTTTGATTAATATTTTAGCCATGTATTTTAGGAGGTCTTGTGGTTAGTACACTGGTAGGGAGTTCTGGAAACCTGTGCTGAGCTTGGCAGTACAAGGTTTATAAAACTCTTGTCTCACTGAAGTCAGCAATATTTTTGACAATGATTTAACTGGGGTCAGATTATATTTCTTTTACATTCAACATTAGGATATTTTCTTATTCCACCGGTAAGGTAGTACCTTCCTCCCTCTTTTTGCAGTTCACTGTTCAGATGGTGCTAGGTCTTAAGGAGTAAGACCTAGTAAGGTCTATACTGGAAAGCTAGATTAAATGATTTTAAGTGTATTAAATCCATGCTATAGAAGCATTAAATTGTATTAAATATATAATTTTAGAAGTATCTTCCATCATCGGAGATTGCAAAATGATGGAGAAGCTGTACAAAAGTTGGCTGATTGCAATACTAACTTTTTCCTACTGTCTTGCAGCTCCATATTCAAAGGCTCAGCTGTGTGTGTGTATCATCTGTCTGACATCCAGACTGTGTTCAATGGGCCATTTGCACACAAGGAGGGCCCAAACCACCAGCTGATTCCATATCAGGGCAGAATTCCGTACCCGCGACCTGGCACTGTAAGTACAGAGATGTTTATGCAAGCTTGCCAATTACTTGTCTTTGTTTAATACATAAATAAATATTATTTATTCCAGGAGAATGGACTATATGTGACTATGAAACTTAGTTACAGTTCAGAACAATTTTGTTTGCTTCTCAGCTTGCCATACAAATCACGTAGTATCTGGAAATCTTCTAGAGAGCATTAAAAGTCTTGCAAAATGCTAATCACTCTTGCTATTTCTGCTGGAAAGGTGGTAAGAATTATTTTACTAGATGGCAGTCTATTGTTTACATGTACATTTACATTTTGTGTGTATGTTTGAGCATACAAAGACGGCATTGTGAGTGTGTTCTAGAGTCTGTCTGCAGTCTGTATGGATTTTTCATGGTTCTTTAAAATTTTGCAGCTCTACTGGGATGCCTGGGAAATGTAGTAGGAGAACAAGGCTTCTGGGACTTGTCATTTGACTAGGTCTAATAGCCTGTCAGGCACTGAATCTTAGAAGAGAAACCTAGAAATAGATGAGTTTTCATGCCTGTCAGTTCATAGTAGTCCTCCTTGTTAAGCATGCTTTTTGTATGCATTGAATATCTTTCAGGACTTTCTTGCACAGTATCAGGAGTAGTAAAAATCTTTAAATAACTTCTATAGAGCATTAGAGCTAGCTCTGTTTCCAAGTTTTACAAAGTTGTCCCATGAAAGATTTTAAAGAAAATTGTTCTTTTTTTTCTTTTCTGTTGATGCACTTACATAAGTCTTTACTTATGTATTTACTTATTTGCACTATTCTTAATATAAATTTATCAAGAGTATAAAGTCTAATAATTCTAGCTTTAATGAAGAATATATGAACTTTCTCTAGAATCTTCTCTAAATCCGTAATTGCTAAATAAAGTGTGGTAGTGTGGACTCCTGTTGACTGCTATGAAGTCTTACATTTCTTAAGTATCAGGATTAAATAATTATGCACAGAATCATAAATCATCTCTCAGTGATGTAGCTATATTTTTTTTTTAATGAACACTCTTTTGCTTTTCCATTTATCACAGGAAATTAAAGTTTATTTTAGTTTTGCAAGTCACTGCAAGAATCTTTAACCATATCATTGTTTCATTCATATTTGTGCTATAGATCTTGTTCTTTCTCTTTCTTTCTCTCTCATACACTAATGCACAGATACATGGAATAGCTCTCTCTGTTCACACTATTCTTCATGACATTTTTGTACAGTTACTTTTGTCTGTAAGATTTAGGACTTCATGTTCCCAGATCTCTAGAATTAGCTAATCAATACCTGATATTCCACTAAGGTCTAATGCTAGCATTATTCTTTCTTTGCAATTAATACATACAGCTATAATCTCATGAGTTCACTGAGGCTTTAAGCCTAAACCTTACAAAAAAAGGAAAAAAAGGGCCCATTTAAACAGAAAGTTTCACAGTTTTCTGATTAGTCACATTTCAGAGATTCTTGCTGCTTCAGAATATTGTATTTATGTGTGTTTCTTCAACCACTGCCATGTTATTCTTGGTTCACCTCATGGGGGCTTATGAGGTGTTCCAGATGGGTCTAAAGAAATTGCACAGCACAATGGAAAAGGAAAAAGAAAATTCAGAATTGCATTTAACATGATGACAGAAATTATCTACAATTTTCAGATGTACTGATGAGCTCTGAATTTGAAGGTAAATTCTTAGATCATAGCTCACACAAGAATAAAGCCAAAAGAGATTATTTTAAGGCGATCATTTTCTGATCACTAGCTTTCCTGTGCGTTCTCACAATTCAGCCACAACACAGTATCTCAAAGGTGTATTTTCTAAGCTGGAATTTTTTTGGCTTTGCTTTCATTTTACTGCCAAAAACTTTCACTTTTAAATGCATGCCACAAACTTATTTTTCACCTATGTCAAAATATCTGTAAAAATCAGGACATGGGGATTGTTTTGCTGCTCAGAATTTGTGTGCAGAGGGTTAACTTTGAGTAGCCACCCTTGCAGACTATGGGGCATGAGGCTCTTTCCTCTGGAATGTAGGTTTTTTGCAACTTCTCGGATGCTGGACTAGACAGATACCTTTTTGTATGACATGGAAAATCCTACTTTACAGTTGCCTAAAGAGCTATTCATACTAAACCTCTGGACGGAAATGAATGTTCATTGTGTCACAGTACATTGGATAAACAATGAAAAGGCTTTGGTATAGCTTCAGTAGGATTAAATAAAGCAATACGTTCGTTTGGCCATAATCAACTCCACAGTGTTTGGCTGCCCTTCACTAAATACCAATGGTTTCTTATTTCTCCAGAAGCTAAACTTACTTATGGAAAAAGAAAGGAAAAAAAATTACATAATTGGCATCTTGCTACTAAAGTCACTGATGTTAGAGAATAGTTTCCATTTTTCAGAGTTTACAGAAATAGTTTTTGTACCTACATGAGGTTGCAGAATATGCTGTAAATTAAAGAATTCTGTTTCTCTCTGCAGTCTATCTGCATGGTGATCAACTGTGAACATAATTATCGTATAGCCAAGTCCTTGAATGAGGTGTGAAGGATACACATTCAATCCCTCCAGGAAAGGCAGAGCTTACAGGGTGCTTCAGTAAAATCTTTTGCTTGTCAGTGGTTGATATGGGGGATAGCAAAAGAATTAATTGTTTGAAGATGTTTGTTAAGGCTTTTCTTCGAACAATGATATAATGTAAGTTTTTAGGGTCATACTGGGGTAAACCATAGGACAGACATTTTTGCAGGAAGTCACAGACAAAGGTCTTATGATCTCTAAGTCAAGAATGGAAGGACAGAACGTGTCAGAGAAAGTCTTCTTTTAACTGAGCTGTGCGGGACAGAAACTTTTAATTTGCACAGCTCATGAAACAGAATCCCTCTGGAGAGGAACTTGGGTCTGGCAGATCACTACCAATTAGAATAGTCTTGATAATAGCCTGCAAATTTATGAAGACAGTTCTTTTTTCATCATTTGTTGCTAATCTTAACAGATAGCTCCATACATTTCCTGGAAGACTGTGGGTGTCACAGAGGGAAGGAGCAGAGCAAACAAGATAATCAGAATTCAGTTTTGTGAGGACTTAGAGGGATACCATGTAGTGTCATTTCTAATGAGAGTCAAACCAAATCCATCAGGATAAAGAAGAGTCCAGAAGAATCAATTGTCAAGGATGTCACATGGGGAAAGACACCGGTAAATGAGCTGAGCTCTGGTTCTGCTTAAAGAATTTTTACCAGAGCTGTTCTATGTTGCATATGTAGTTAAATCCTAATTGAGTCAGAACATGATTCTAAAGCCTGGGATCAAGCTGCAGTTCCTTCTATACTTTGTTCCTGATGTTGCCCGATGGATAGTTTATTATGTGTACAAGTTGGAACAGCTTTTAGAAGCAAGGATAGAATGCGCACTCCTGCCTGATGGTTAGAGGGATCCTCTGGGAGGTGAAGACCCAGATTCTAACATTTGCTGACATCAGGTAGGTTGGACACATGACTCATATATCCCCAGTGAGTTTCCTATTCTCTCAGAGTATGATTCATTTTATGTAATTTTAGCCATCTAAAAGCAGGGCATCTAGTCTCAATTACTGACTACAGAGGAAACCTAGATGGCTAACTAAGAATTAATGCCTGACTTTGAGACAGCAGAAGTCAGGTGAGGTAAATCTCTCCCTAAGCTACTAGCTATTTTTGTGTCTGTGGTTTTGACCAGAAATTCCATCCTAGACTTCAGAATGGTCCTCATCAAAATAAACAAGTTTCCATGAAATGCTTCATACTGAACAAATCAACATTTTCCAACTGGAAAAGTATTGTGTTGAAATATTTCTGAATAGCTCCAATACTCCGAGGAGAGTTTCACACCTCAGAAGTCTGGTAAGGAGTAAAATGAAAGCTCAGGAGCAGCGATAAGAAGTGAGGTAATGGGGGCTGAAAAAAAGTCATGTAAATTAACGTAGGTTACTGACGTAGCTCCTGCTTTCTTCCCACAGTCTTCTTTTAATTTCACTCTCAGTAAACACTGGATATTTCTAAGATTCCTTGTGCTTCCTCGTGAGCTCCAGAATGCCTCAGGGCTGATTATTCGGTAGTTCTTCATTACGAGTAAAGAAGCATCCAGATTATTCATGGATCTCTGTTTTTTGTCAGGCATAGGGGAGAGTGTAGACAAGATCCTGTGAGTGGTCAGTCTTCTCAGATGTAAATGAGTTGTCATGGGACCCCCTCATTAACTCCATACTATTGTTTTTTCAAATGTAGATGAGACAGGCCCTTTCACCATCTCATAATCAACATAATGACTAGAGAGATATTGGCCAAACTACAGTTAATATCAGATTTTATGTTTTGCCTTTGTACTAAATCTAGAACAAACCAGCTGTGAAAATTTGGTATCTTCCCATACCCATAGGATATTTTTTTCCTATAGGCAGCTTGGAAGCATAAAGAATGTGGAAATTGGTCCAGAATTATGGATCTTTTCCCTCAAGCTGGGTTTTGAAAGTGCAAAATATGTTTGTGTTTGCTTCATCTGAATTGATGGGAGTTCAAAGCATAGCTATTCAAGCACTTCATTCACGTTACTGGAACATAATTATTTTCAGTCAGAGTCTGAAGTGCTCTTTTGGGAACTTACTTTGTCAACTATCTGTCAATATCTGTAAATGACTTGGAGATGAAAACTCTCTGAAAGATGGTAGGTATTGTTAAGCATTGCTGTGCATGTTTCTTACAGTGTCCGGGAGGAGCCTTCACACCTAATATGCGGACAACCAAAGAGTTTCCAGATGATGTTGTGACCTTCATCAGAAATCACCCTTTGATGTTTAATCCCATTTACCCAATACACAAGAGGCCATTAATCATCCGTATAGGAGCCGACTACAAGTATACAAAGATTGCTGTGGATCGAGTGAATGCTGCTGACGGAAGATATCACGTCTTGTTTCTAGGAACAGGTAAGACAAACTTAGCAGCAGTAATTTTCGTCCATTGCATTATAATTTACAATCAACTCTGATCTGTACAACTTACAGCTTTCAGAAATGTTTGTTTAAACATATTTACTATCTACAAAAATGTCTACAGAAATCCATATATTACGCACTTTTTACTTTCTGTGCATTTTTGTTTCCTATAGACATTAATTATGTGCAAAAGTTACAATTTATTGATAAAATTGTATTTAAGACAGAAATCAACACTAGTGTATATCGTATTTGATCTAAATTATAATAGTTCTCTTGAATATGGTGTGTCTGCAACATGATTCCACATTAGAATTTGATGCGCTCTAACATCAGTAAAAATACCAAAATCTGGCTTTGTATTGTTTTTTGTACTCTCATAATCATTATTTAATATATGCTGTGTAAGCTGCTTCTGAAATAAAACACAGTCTGATCAGGATGTTACAAAGGCAGAAATAACAACTCCACAAAAAAAAAAAGGAAGTATTTAGTAGAGAAAAAGAAACAAGGGGTTGGAGTCCTAGCAGTGGTGGACACAAAGAATTTGATCCAAGTATTCTAAAATAATTTCTGTCAAATATACATTTTGGTTTTAGTCACATCAAATTTGAATCTGGTGTTATGCTTCTGAAGTCTGTGGGTAACAGGTCAAGTGATTCTTGTACTGATTAATTTTGATATTTTAAAATGTTCAGGTGTGAATCACACTCTTGTGATTGAAGCAGACAAGCGGAGTGGTACTCTGGCTAGACCCTAGGATTCATTCACATCTGAAACTCCCACTGGCCTAACAGGGCATTGTAGGTTGATAGCCGCAAAGACTAATCTTTTTTACTACAGAGGTTTTCAAGTGGAACAAACGAAGAGAACTCCCGGAGAACAAATGTATCTCTGAACATCAGAGAATAATTACAGAGATAGCTTGCATTTCTTTTATAGTTCACATATTATTGGGGTGCTGGTAGTATTCTGCTTGTAGAATAACTGTGTCTGTCAGCGAACTCACATGGGGCTGGGAATAACCATCCTGGTATAACAGATGTAGGAAGCTAGTGCTGAAAAATCTCTCAAGAATGTCAGGCTTCTATAGGGGCAGGATTAAAAGGAACTCTCTTCACTCTTCTTAGAAAAACCTCCCCAACTATCAAAATTGTCAGGGTGCCCTTATGCCGAAGGAGGCCAGCTGCATACTGTGCTCTATTAGCAGAAGGGTATCCAACCAGCAGGTTGCTGGAAGGCATTCTTCCCCTGTATTCGGCTCCTGTCAGGGGTACCATGTCCAGTTGTGGGCTCCCCTGTGCAAGGAAAACATTGACCTAACGGAACAAGATCAGTTGAGGGACTGTGGCATGTGATGTATGAGAAGAGGCTGAAGGGATTGGGTTTATTCAGAGAAAGCTAAGGGGAGACCATATTGCTGTTGACAACTATCTAATGGGAGAGTACAACTATCTAGATCTGGACTCTTCTCAAGGTGGAAAACAGAAACACCTCATTCACCTCATTTACCAGGTCACCATCTACTGTACTGTGAATACTTGGCGTACTGTAAGGCATAGTCAGGGTAGAAGAAACTCTGGGTAACGAATTACATTAGGAATTTTCGTCAGGGTTTGATCTGGGTATTTTTGTTTTCTTGGTTGGTAGTTGATAAATGAGTTTAAGGTGTTCTTGAAGATCTCTTTCATTCTACTTGCAGAGTCATTGTAAACCACCAAATTAAGCTGCTTAGGACAGGGCTTTCTTCTTGAGGTGGGTTTTTTTCCCCCCTTCCCTAATATGTAACCACATTTTCTTTTTAGTTTAATGAATGCAGCTACAGTGCTTGACTTTGGGACCCTTTAAGGTTATTTTCCTCCTTTCCTGCAAAAGTCAAGAGTCTTTGCACACTGCTGTAGAAATATCAGAAGTGTTCATAGATATTGTCCCTACTACTGTTACTCAGCTCCACAAGAACTCTTAGTAAAAGAGAAGGTTTGGTTTTCTATTAGCTTTATTCCTTGCCAAATCACTATGTTTAGCCAGAGTAATAGCTTAGTATGCTAGTCCAGGTCTTTCAAATGAACATTGTGTGCATTTTTTGATATAGTAGTGCCATTGTTTTAAAATGCTCCATAAACATCTAAAGTTAATTGGAGAAAAATACTACTAAACGTTAGTGGAAAAGACATATAAATTTCCGATCAATAGAAGATTCTTAAAGTAGCAGGGATAGATGATACTGGAAATAAAAAAAAAATGAAATGTGCATGAAAATGCACAATAGTGATATTTAGCATTTCCATAATTCCGCAAAAAGTAAATACAGTTCATTTCATTTTATACTTTGATTAGCTTCTGACTGTTTTTAGGTGATCAGTGTGGCCTCACACATACACCTGTGATTCATTAAAAATATTAACATACCTCTGCTTTTTCTTATGTGTTGTTAGTCCTTTTCTGTGTATCAGCATAGGGCCCATTATGGGACAAATACATAAACTGCAGCTCTTGATACTTTATATTCATTGCTTTATCTTCTACATTACACTGGAGACGAGGATCATTGTCTGCTTTCTAGTTGGAGGGGAGGCATTATTCTTCCTGAGTAGGGCACAGGACCTTAATAGCTTCCAAGGTCTTTGTCAGAAGAAATTGGTGCAGTGTAAGTTACTGTGTTTCTCAGCCCTTTTAAATAAAAGTTATCAAGTTTCAGCCACTGAAAGGGGAAACTTGTTTCCTTTATTCTCTCCCTTCTGTGAGACTCATGAGGATTCGACAGAGATATTAACTGTCAAAAGGAATGCAGAGGGGATTTGCTTTGGTGTCAGTTCGTCCGGGCAAATGCAAAAAACACGTTGTATAGGGGAATTTAATGTGATAATTTCCTTGGGAGCCTGGAGCCCCACAGCCAGAGACAACGGGACTTGACACCTGGTGACAATTACACTCATCTTGGATGATGAGTTACTGCTGCTGAACTGAGATGTTGCCAGCCATGTCTGTCACTGTCAGTGACCTGACTTATGCTTGAAATTGGAGTGTTTTATGTCTTGCCAGATGCATAGCACACAATAAGTTTAGCTTTTCCTCTCTTCCTCCTCTATAGCCTCAGTAATAAATCAGTTCCTGAATTCAAGTGAAGAATAACAGAAGTATAAAGCTCCAAGAACCCCAGCGGTTTTCATCATGAAGCCATGGCATGGGAGGGTAGAGGCAGCTCTGTCATTTTTTCACATTAATGTGAGTTAAAGATAGTGTTTCCTTTGCACCCCCAGACAAAAGTGCTGAGCTCACAGGGGCTGGTCCATGCCCAGAGTTAATATGTTGCTTTTCTCCCTTGCTCACCTACATAGCTAACAGAATAAATCCCAGGGACAGACATTGTTCTCGCAGCATTCCACCCGTTTTTCAGATGATAAAAATCTCCTGTTTTCCCTGTGCTTTTCAACCTGAAGACTCCCAAAGAGCTTAGGAAAACTTGCTAGTTTTGTTAAGTCCACCCAAAGGGATCTCTTCACGCCCCTCTGAAATGAGTTGATTTAGAGCAAGGAGCAAGTCTTTAATGGTACAGAGCAGCGCTACAAGAGACCAGCACTGTATACCTCATCTTCCCAAACAGAAACCTGAGGGACAATTTACTTGCGTATAATGTAATCACTCATTTGCATATTTGACAAGGGCGATGCTGATGATACTTCTTCCCTAC